TGTGGCTAACTCCGTTTTACAAAACGCACAGAACCCATAAGCTCTGAATCTGATTTAAGGTATTGAAGAAAACACGCTGCAACGAACAAAGCCCTCTACTCGCAGACCTCTATTTACATGTGGACTACACAAACGACACAACAAAGCAACAAATTTCTGTGCTCCATGCACCTATTTGCATGGTGGTATCCACACATGATCTGCTGGTCTAGTGGTGTCCACACAGGCGCAACAAACGACAAGTGAATCAACAAGCAGCAAGTGACGCTGCCGCTTGGAGTTACGATGTGCAAGAAACACGTTTGGATCCTCATGGTAGCTTGAAGACCAATTTCTTCGGTTGTCCGCCCTGCGTGAACAGCAGCATCCAACAGCGTCACTCTGGCAGAGTGAGCCGTGAGCTTATTGATTTGAGCTGCCGCCTCTCGCAACGCTTTGGGTGACAGTTGCCGATCGGGCGCAAACCGTTCGAAGGCCGAGCGCGCAATGACTTTCAGCCACTGCACAGACCGAGCATGGTCTGGTGGGGTGTTCCTGAACTCTTCTCGGGAATTCAGGTCAGGGATCCAAAAATCACGATCGTGCGACTCTGCTTCGAAGAGTTCCCAACCGATCGCTAACCATTCGACCCCCGAAAACCCGACGGCCGGAACGACAAATTTCGTGCCCCTTCGTTTGCGTTCTACCTTCGTTTGCCAACAAACACCGAACAGGCCATCATCAAGGAATTGGAGGTCTTTGGGGGCAACGTGGATCCCGTCATCAAACCGAAGGGACGCAAAAATAAGGCATAACCACCACCAAATAAACAGCCGAGCGGGTGTCGGACCGTCGAGCGCGGCAACAAAAAGCTCCATACTGCGCACTACTTCCAGAGGCACCGGAACCGCCTCTTTCAGAGCGGTCGCTCGCTTTGTGACGACCTCCTTCTGCAGCGCCAGCAAAGACGCATCGTCCAGATCTGGACAGTCCACTGCCAAACGTGAGCAGACCCACCTGATGGACGAACGTGCCGAGGGGATGACGGTCGGTCCGCACTCTAGCTGATCAAGGTAAAGGCAGTACTTGAGGACTTTGTCGATCGAGAGGGGGAAGAGGTCCACACCCGCCCACGAGGCCCAGAGCTCGAACCGTTCCCACATGCGAACATGCGATGACATGGTTCTGTGGGCCCCCGATGTGAGGACCAGGTGCCGGAGCCTAGCTGCTTCCGTTTCTGTCAGATCTGTGTCATTCTCTCGAGCTGTGAACAGCTTCGCCCACTGGCCTGCCCTGCGCCCAATGGCCTCGAGACGAGCGGCCCACTTGTGTCGCTCGCCTTGCTCCAGATCCAGCAGCGGGGTCGAGCTGGAGGAAGCCTCTGGATCCAGCTTCAGGCGCTTGGGCCCTCTCAGGGCTTCTGCACGAGCGCTTGGATAGCGGCTTTCTTCCTGAGCCCGTCCGCCGCTGAGAGAGCTCTATGGGCTCGGGCTGGCTCACACAATCCAAAGCCGAGCTGAATAGTGGTGGACTCAAAGAAGAGCTTCTCGACTGACTTGGCCAGCCCCCAAAATTGATCCAACATAGCCGGTTCCGTGAGCAGGACTCTGACTACCGTCGGATCCATAGCAGGGGCCCAATCCGAAACTTTCTGAACGAACTCGGAACCTGAACTGACCTCCATCGATGTGATCAGGGCCAAGTTGGCCAGTTGGGAGCTCGCTAAAGCATCTGCGAACGCTTTTGAAAAGATCGGAAGGGACAGAACCTTGGTGACCCACCTATCTGTGCCCTGAGCCATGATTGAGCCCAGAGCTATTGAACCGAACAGGTTAAATGGGATCTCCGTTGACCAACCCTCCCCCCCTTCGAGCCGGCGCGACTCGAGCTAGCTCAGAAGCCAGCGGCCTCAGAGCCCCAATGCTCAAGCCTCCCGCCGTGCCACGAGGGACTTGAAGGGTTCGCGTTGAGGAGCCTCAGCCGCCAAGCTCGATCGAGCATGGGCTGAATTCCCCAACAACGCAGCTCATGCGCCACGAACGTGCTGTTTGTGAACACTCAAGATTTCCTGAATGAAACATCAAACACGAACACACGAGCGGTCCAAAACGACATGTCCATATATGTGTGTCTAGAGATCCATTCCAATGTTTGAACAAACTCTGAAAGAAAGCAAGCACAGCTCAAGTTGAACAACCTGTGAACCTCCAGCCTCAAACCACATCGATCGACTGAAGCTGAAAAAGTTCACGACAGCTGAACAGCTTACTTTAGTTAGCTTGAAGCTAGTAGGACTACAGAACGCTGGTTAGAGTGGACCCTCAACCTAACTCATGCCCCAGGCTAGAGCAAGGCTCGGGTGCACGTCAGACCACGCGCTCTGAGCTCCCGAGACCCACCGATCTGCGGCATGAGCCTCGCGTTACGCGCTTTGAGACACGATCGGTCATTAGGGGCCCTTCACATGGTCTGATCAACTTGACAAAGACGTGTCATGAACAGACCTGGAAAAACCTAGAGCCTTGACTGGTCAAGAAAGAAAAGAGCAGCTGCGTGTCTTCTCTCTCGTGCCACAGGTCGCCGATCGACCGCCCTTGCGCAGCCGTACGACGAAAGGCCGGATCGGACACCCCCGATCGATTTCATAAAGCGGCTTGAGCTGTTTAAACATCAACCGAATCATCAGGCTGATCAGCTCGAGGCCCAAAAACAGTCGGGACCCCACTCTCTGCCTCCTCCGGTGTGATCGTCACCGTTGAGGGTCGTTCGACTCTCGGAGTGGCTGGACGGAGCCCCGACATCACTGCTCGAGCTTGGCCCACAAAAGCCATGGGTGTGACGGCTGCATCAGCGATCGTCTCACTGCGCCTCTGCTCCAAAGGCCTCCTCGGAGCGAACACCACAGGAGCTGAGCTTGCCGAGCTGGCCGCCTGACCCGGTGGAGTAAGCGAAACATGCCCACCCCGGATGTCACCTGCTACCCCACTCGGAGCCGAGCGTGGGCCAGCCAGATCCCTCACTGCCTCCTCCCACTTCTGCTGAGCAGACGCGATGGCCGGTGTGCCCATGGTAGGAGGCAAAATCATGGCAGCCCGCTCTGTTGCCGGATCGTGGTACTGCAAGGCGATCGACTCCTTAGGCACCACCTTCTTCTCCGAGCGAAACAGCGGGGACTCACACGTGAGGTGCAAGTTGTCCGCGTGCGAGCTCACGTCAACGGCCCCGATCCTTGGTCCAGTCTGCTCGATCGACTCAGCCACGACCTCTGCGGTCCAATGAGCATGGATTCCCGCAATCTGGGATAGCTGCATGACCTGATCAGGTCCTTCCACCCGGGCGAAATGCTCACGACACCATCGAGCGTCCTTCACCAGGGTGGGCCCAGACACCCTGGAAACCACAAGCCAGGTGGCCGGCACTGAGAGCGTTTCACAGGCCACGTCCAGGCGGTCCTGAGCAGAATTGAACCTGAACTCCAATCTATCTGCGTCCAGGCCGAGCGAGTCTGCCGAGGACACAGACGTGAGCCGCACCTCAAAGTGGCACAGCGGGAAGTCTAAGGCCAGAACTGCGCCTCCTTCACCACAAGCGTAGAGCTGCCCCCCGACCTCGTAGGAGACGGCGCAGACGCGCCAGCCCTGGAAGACCACCACTGTGCAGGAGGGTATGAACAACACCTCCTCCAACCCCATGACGAGCGCGTCGTTGATGTAGTTCACTTGAACCGTCATATCACGATCCGAGCGATAACCACGCATCTCGAGATGGAGGAGGAGCGCTCCTTCCACCTTCAATTTCAGGTCAACCCAGGTCGCAGAGTCATCCCTCATCAAAGGCCACCTGAACGGCTGAAAAGCCTTGTGGGACATGACATCCCCAGTGTGGGAGTCCCACTTCCCACATGGCACGGAGCCGTATGAGGTCATCGACCCAACAATGATCAACTTCTTGCCCTCGAGGGTGCGCATATAGAACAGGTTCATGTGGTAACCTGTGCTTGGGCTCCTGACTTGACGAGCGTCAGACAAAACGTTGACACCAGCCTGGGCATTGACCAAAATCTCATCCAGGAGCCAGCCCTGAAAAGGGCTTGAGATCCTTTGATCTCTGGAGTCCACGACGAGGATAGATCTCTCCCCGTCGGCTGCACCCACTTGCCTGAGATAGGGAGGCAAGGCCGCACTGAGTGCGTTGTGGAGCCCACCCATCTGACCAAACCTCAAGGCCCGAGCACCTTTCCGAGCGGCTCGCTCCGCCTGCTTGCGCAGTTTTCTGGAGCCATACTGTGGGTTGGTTCCTGCAAGAAAATTCTGAGCAGCTTGCGTTGCGGGAGCCACATTGGGAGCTGTCGGCACTGAGGCAGGCGCAGGCTGAGCACTCTGCTGCTGGCCTCCCTGAGCAGGTACCTGGGTCTGAGCAGACTCCTGCATGTTCGGCACGTCTGGAGTTGGCTCAGGAGCCTGAGCCTCAGCAGGATCCTTTGTGGCCTCAACAGGAGGCACTTTGGCTTGAGCCTCTGTCTGCGGGGCTTTCACTTGAGAACTAGCTGATGACTGACCAGTCTTCACTTTGTTGTCCAGATCAATTACGTGAGGAAGCTCTAGGTCAGCTGGTGGAAGATCATCCTCATCGTCCGGTGTTTGCACCATGTTCCAGCTAGATGCGCTCACATTGCTGATCGAATCTTCTGGCCTGATCAGCCTGTTGACTGCGAGCGCTTGCTGCCGGAGAAAAGGCGGCAGGTGTCCACCACTTGACATGGCTGCGGATAGATCTATGAACACCTGAAGTGATCACCCCAGGCCCCCTCGGTCAGAACTCCCCACGAGCTCAAACACAACAAACAGGGACCCAAAAATTTTAGGGGTGATCACCTTCTAGCCAAAATGGCATACGATCATGGTGAATCACTGAACAATTGTTAGAGAAGTTGGCTGAACAGCTGCCCTGAGTAACCCCCTTGTTCCAGACCAACCTATCCGTTAACAAGTGACCTGTCGCTGCACTCTGGCCCAAGTGGCCAGTGATCACATTGAGCAACGCTAGAATACAAAAGGCCATGAAGACAATGAACAGGAGTCCAAACCTCAGCCAGTATGGCTTGGTCTATTCATTATTCAGTATTCTATTCATTCTTGTTCCTGAAGTAGCTGAGACGTTAAATATCGACTGCCTCAAGTGAGTGCCCGCGACAGCACGGCACTTCTCAAAATGCTTTTCCGATTCCAAAATTTGGAAAGACAATATAGACTGCCTGGTTTCAAACAACCAGCTCAAACCCAAAACGCATGGTGACTGTGCACCCTTTCCAAAAGAAAGACTGCAGCTTTGTGGGCGTTCTTCAGGCTTGTCCCAAATGGTTCAGGAATCACCGGTCACAGCCCGTCACAGCGGTCACCAAGATGCCAGGGGCTGATCCCATCGATCAGCGGGTCAGCGATCGCATGCCAGTCGACACCACCGGTCACCCCCTGGCAGTCGAGAGGGGTCTTGCGAATCTGGCAGATCGGGTGTCAAATCCATCGGAGGTTGCAGAATCATGATAGGGGCCTTGTGCTTGTCACTGGCTGTGCAGCCTTGAAGGACTGGCATCAAACTCTCTCAAAACACGGATGTCTGCACAAAGCTTCAACAATAGTTGCACCGGACTGTGGTCACGGTGTCCAACGACATTGCCGGTCCGCGCCCTTCATGAACAAAGAGTCTCTAGAATGTCAGCCGACGGCGCAATCTTAGGTCAATCTATCATGACAAATCTGCCGTGACGATCCTTTTCTCCTGAGAAAGGACTTTGCATACGTGGTCAAGCACACCAACAGAGCAAGTGAGACCCCGCTCGACTGCGGTGAGTCAAGTTTTCATATCATATGCCAAACAAACAAGGTTTACTTTGTTTCAATCCCATATGTCGAACCCCCTGCAGGGCGCATGAAGCAATGACATGAGCATCAAACCCAACCTGGAAGAGCGATAGGACACTCTGCGGCATGGAGCCCCACCACTTCAGCATCAGCGCTTTCTGGTGCAAACGAGATGGGGAAGATCTGGGAGAGAACCCAAAAAAGAACATCTGAAGGATGAAGAGAAAAGAGGTGGGGTGGCAAAGAACACAATTCTCTTACCAACTGCAGGCCATGGCCGGCAACATCACCCCTAGCTGTAGCTGAATCACCAGTTCCAACCAGCTTCGATGCTTGCCCAGTCTTGTGCCATGAGGTTGATATAGACAAAGCTACTAGTAGCTTCTTGTTACGAGTAGCGATGCCCTTTGCTCCTAGTAGCGATGCCGTTTGCTCATAGTAGCGATGCCCGTCGCTCCTAGTAGTGATGCCCTTTGTTACTAGTAGCTTCTTGTCACTGGTCTGTCATTCACTTCCCTTCAAAGATCATGATCCAGCTGCATCACAGTGGAACCTTTATCGACTTCTCAGTTGAGGAGTCCTGCATTGAGAAACAAAATGATGTTCAGTTCAAGCACAATGAGTACGAAACTCAGCGAAACACACAAAAGTGTGCTTCACACGGAAGGTTTTAAGGGGCCCACTCCACCACAAGACCAAATCCTTCCCCCATTCCCATTCCCGGAACCAACACCTGCGAGGCAACATCAACGGAACAAGGTATCTGCGCCCCATCATCGTTCTGCTCCAAGCGATAGGTTGTAGCAGCCTGGCAAGTCCACAAAGACACTTCTGACACCAAAAATGTCCAACGCCAGATTCCGGCTCTATTGCAAAGCATGTATGAGAGGCTTGTAAAGCATGCCCTCTTTTCTTAAGCCTGTGACAGGCCGAATCCTGATAATGGTACGCCATTGCAACCCCTCAAAAATCCGCGGGTTTGAGGGCTCTATGTTCTTGAGACAACTGTGGAGAGCTTGAGTCCAAGCAAATCGCCCGCCTGGCAAATGTAGATGGCCACCACGTATATGGCCAAAAGGAGCAGGAGGGCAGACCATAAAAACTGTTTCAAAGAGCGAAACAAGCAGTTGATCAGCAGCCTTAGAGCACTCTCTTGGAGACCCAAACACTCAACTGGGGGAGATGGCTCCGAAGTTTCCACGACCTCATGAACTGGAGGGCCTACTAGCACTAAACCTGCGACGTGAAAGATGGCACATCGGAAAAAAAAAAGAAAGAAACAGGTAGGCTACGGCTAGGGTTGTCAGATTGCACACGGGCGACTCTAGAGTGCACAAGCTGCAAACAGTCATAACACCACAACCCCTCTAAGAAAAAGGCAAGGAAAGGCAAGAGCCATGGCCACAACCTCAACAACAACCTCAACAAGAGTCTTATGGGGTCTCTCAAGACTGGTCCCCAAGACTAGTTTCCATTTATGTGCCATCTATGTGCGCTAGCATAAGAACTACATGTCCTTCTCAGTGTGCCATGTTAGTGTATGACAGTGTATGAGAAACTACATGTACTTGTAGCTGTGTGCTATCTTTAGGTTCCAAATTCCACTCCCACTAACATGGCACATATTGGCCATGTTCTTTGTGCCATCTTAGTGGGACCCGGTATAGCTAGACCGCACTGAACAACCAAACACCACATAGGCCTTCAGAGAAGCATACAAAATCTTGCATCCCAACTTCCCTCTGCTGTCTAAGCAACTGCAGATCCTGTGTGAAGCGAACAGCTCCCACTAAGCGGACCACCTTGATGGCACGGAGGATTCGGATCACACGCATGATGTCCTGAGGCTGGATCTGAGCAAAGCTGTGAAATGCCCAAAAGGAGAGTCCGGTCCTTCCCTGGGTCTGGTTGTAAGCCTTGTTTACAAACACTCACACTTTCGGGTCCTTCATCCAACTTTGAACAAACCTCTTTCCTGAGGGGCACGATGAAAATTTCAAAAACACATGGTGAGAGTGAGAGATCAATACCACTTCCTGTGACGGTAAAAGTGTGAACCAATGTTCAAGCCCAAAAGCGACCAAAGGGGGGGAACCGCAATGCTACAGCAAGAAAAAGCAGAAAGCGGGCTTTTTCAAGCGTGCGATCATCGATGAGCTGGACAGAGCGGCGAGTTGAAAGACATGTCACCAAGCTTCACACGAACAAACCTCAAGCTACCTTCCATGAATCGATGACATCAAGAAAAAGGGATGTTGGTGACAAAGTCTTCTTGGCCTTGAGCATGCGTGCCTTGCCGCGCTCCCTCTGGCCCCTTCTCAAGCCAGCCCTATACAGCTCCTTCTCTTGGTCCTCAAGAGTCTCTTTCAAACAAATAGTCCCCTTGGACTTGAATTCGCGAAAAAGCTCATCTGGCATCCCTTGCGTGAGACTGTCGGCAAATTGGCGCCCCCACGTCGGCACCCAAGCTGCCAGCATCGAAGCCCTCTCAATGAGCTGCTTTGCAGCTAGGATGTCCAACATCGTTTGGCATTCCGCCGTCAGATGCCTTGTCTTCTGTCAATGGCCGAACAGGGCCTTGGCGTCTGTGGCGACCAGGCCGGGCACTTTCAAATCCTCCTTCCAAGAGGTTGTGATCTCTGGAGGACCACGCCAAAAGGCCTGCACCAGAAGACAAAGGTGCAGTTGCTCATCAGCCGCAGCGCTAAGCGAATTGCCCTCTGCCGCCAAGCTGGACTTCACCATTCGCACGATCTTGGAGCGCCTAAACTCGACCACATTGGCCACTGATGAAGACCGCTCCAACGGTCCAAAGCTCGTGCCGTTGACAAGAAATGAACTTGCCCTTGTTGAGCACAGAAGGCGTCGCTCTTGCCCAGGGAAGCGTCAAAGAAGGCGACGCAGTATGGGCAAAGTCTCGAACTCTTTCAGCAAGGTGTTGGCGTTACGAGCGTGCTCCACGCGAGCTCCCGACACTTGTTGCGCTAGCTGGCTCACAGCAAAAAACTTCTCAAGTAGCACGTACTGCGCTGGCCACCTGAGCTGCATCACCAAGCGGCGGAAGGAGGTCTTCTGGGTAGGAGTCCTTGTCCGTCTCCATGGGCTAAATCTTTTCAACGTACAGCTTCACGCAGTCTTTGAGCACCTTGTTCTATAAAGAAATCTTGCAACCAAGAAAATCAAAGGGCTCAGTCTTCCACTCTTTGATGTTGAACCGCTCGTTGACGCAAGCTCGTAGGTCTCGAAACACCGGACATGTAGGGTGTCCAGTCAGCAGACACTCATCCACGCGCAAAGTGCACACTGCTACAGTGACCTGGTTCTTCACCTGCGCAAACGTGGCACTGCATATGGCAGCTCAGACATTCCAACTTCTTCCAGTTGTTGAACTGCTCGAGAACGCCATGGCCTGGGTGCCTCTGCCAGACCGTAGGCTGACTTCAAGATGCGCAGCAAAGAGAAGAAAGGTGGAATCGGAGGTGACTGTGAAGTGCCAGGCAAACCATCGGCTGGGGCTTTCACATAAACTTCACGATCAGTTGGATTGCCAGACAAAAAGGCCGTGGCCACATCAAAAACATAGAGCTCCCGTCCACGACACATTGCCAGACTCTTCAGAAGACGAACTGCACAAGGATTGGTTGCGGGAGCATCAGCGCGATACTCTCCCAGGCCATGATCGGCATGACCTGGCGCCACAAGTCTCGACTTTGCCAGGATCTCCGATGCTGCGTTCAACTCTTTGTTCTTGTTGACTCTCACCCATCGCAGCGGGATCCTGAAGATCGTGTTCCGGGGGATGTTCCGAGCACGGTCTGGAGGAACCACCTCAAGGACTCGATTGCGAATCCATGAGAGCCATTCAGACTGGTCAGGCTCATCAAACTTCTTCTTCTCATAGCTGAAATGTTTCGAGTCCAGCTCTTTCCCACTGGCCTTCATCTTGAGGAGATAGATCTGACACGCCTGTTGAGCTGCTCGTTCACGACGCGCAAATGACTTCCATACATCGAGTCGTTCTGGTGGCCACGGGATCTTGAACATGCGATCCGCAGGCTGCACATGGGCACCTTCATCAGATGGTCTCTTTGAAGACTGGAGGTCCACAAACATAGTGATTCCTCTCCACAGGAATGGTGCCCTTTTTGTTGGGCGCCTGGACACTTCTGCTGTTTTTTCTCCCACCACCACAGCTTAACCTGGTTGTGGACCCAAAAGTGCACTGACCCGATCTCGAGGAAACTCATGAGGCGGCTTCTGAAACCTCTTTCGGGGAGCAATGCGCCATCGAGCAGCAGTCACAGGAAGATCAACAACTTCACGTAGGGTTGCCAGCTCTTTCCTGCTAAGCCATTCATTCGCCCGCTCCTTCTGAGCTCTTCGTCCTTTCAATTCATGCAGCTGCTGTTGCAACAAAGAGACCGACAGGGTGGTGTAGAACTCGTGATCTTGCCAAGGGTCACGCCAATCTCGAGAAAGGTCAGGCTCAGTTGCAGGACGTGAAGGTCGAAACTGGTTCCAAACGCCCTTCCAGCCTGATGTTCCCTTGCCCTTTCCCTTGTGTCTCGAAGAGTTGCCTTTCCCTTCTTGGGCTGACCACCACTCAACACAGGTGGAGAACATGTCGCGCATCGACTTGGAATCACCACCTTGTTCCGAACTAGCCTGACCCGATGAACTCTAACCCCATGGTAGATCTAGCTTCACCCACGAATCTTCCTTGTCCCTAGAGCTGGGCGCCTGCGGCGGCGGCTGCTCTGGAGGTGGAGGGAGCCCCTGCTGCTGCTGCCATGATCCATCCGCAGCAGTCGAAGACGGATCGGCCATGATCGAGGGAGCAAGCAGGCTATGGACAATCCCCACCAAGGGTCACCCAGCCCCTCAGGGCTCCGCTACCAATGTGGCGGTAAAAGTGTGAACCAATGTTCAACCCCAAGAGCGACCAAAAGGGGGAACCGCAATGCGAAAGCAAGCAAAAGCAGAAAGCGGGCTTTTTCAAGCGTGTGATTCGATGAGCTGGACAGAGCGGCGAGTTGAAAGACATGTCACCAAGCTTCACACGAACAAACCTCAAGCTACCTTCCATGAATCGATCACACTTCCGACAGTCCGACATCTGTTGGATGTAACCACCACTGGCATTCAACCATGGCTTCACTTGTGATTGGTCTAAATCAAATGTTTTTCATGCACTGGTACGAGTGTTCTGAAACCACTCAAATTAATGAACCAAACTTTGCAATCGAACTTGCCAGAGCTCCTTTTGGCACCCCACAACTTCCAAGTGTCTGGGTTTGTGTTCGATGACAACCTCCCTGCAGTGCCTGCAGATGCCTGGCCAAAAAGGTGAAAACATGAATGGCTCTTTGTCGCTGCTGCTTAAAATGGCTTTCATGCATTCCGGCTATGAACAAAGTTGGACAGCACAATAAGGCCTAGATTCATGTTCCGGTTTGCCAAATTTCCCATGTGCAAACGTGGGGCTTGAGCCTAAGCCTTTACATCAATATTGTCTAAGCTGTTTGAGCTTTCAGCACATCCATTGGATAGGTAGCCCTTGACCAATGCGTACGCCCAACACCAAAGTCACTGGAGGTCACCTGCATCTCCACATCTGCCACCATCAGAAGAACCTCTTCGGTGACCTAAACATCTTAGGCGGTGCAAGGATCTGAAAGGCACTAAACGTCATCAGTCTTAAGCACTCTAAACAGAGTACTTCAGCTCATCATTTCATCAGCTGACACTGCTTCAGTCACTTCAGTTTTTGGGCTACACGAGGCACCCTCTCTGTCTCGTCTGTTGTACTGCATCCAGCTACTAAACAAAGTATAAAATCGGCGATCTGGGCCAAGAACCTACCGTTTAACTGCAATAAGGTTCCCATTTGTGGCTCAGCAACGTGACAACGGTGGAAGTTCAAGAGATCGAAGAGCACTTCTACAGAGTTACGGTATATTTCAATTGTTTCTTTCAATATTTGGATGTGGAGTGAACGGTGGTAAAGTGGATTTCACAGGGTGGGGCACGTTCCAAGTCTTGGCAAGAACACGCAAAACTCCAATTGGTCCAGGAGTTCTCTTTTATACTGCTGGTCAAAGGGACGTGGGCGCTCACCAGAAGGAGGTCCATGATGTTCCAGGCGCAGCCGTTCATGGTAAAGAAGCGCTTCCCATGAGCAGAAATCCGCAACAGGAGCTCTAGGGTGAAAAAGAGGCAAAACCTGAGAGGCGCCAAATGAACTCACCAGATCCAATGCCGATTCAATGCCCATGTTCCAAGGATTTTCAAGGTCTTCAATACCCAGATTGAAGCACAGTGCTCGAACTCTGGCTAGACACAATTGCAAGTCCAGACCTGATTCTACATGCATCCTGACACATCCATACTTTGGCCTTGCAAGAGTACAAGTCCACTCGATCACTTAGACTACCAACTGTGCACTGAAACCAGCCGGCCTCTGTCCAAGCTTTTAAGATTGGAGTTCGGTGTTATGTAGAAGAACAATTCTTGCACAGGCCCCGCAAGCCCACAGGACCAAAAGCCTTTTGCTGATTCCAAGAAGCCCTATATCAAAACATCGCAAGGTCCACGGCACTGAAGCCAGGTTATTTGTGGCCATGTAGTCCGTTTGAACACCAATGACCACTGCATTCGCACAAAGCACTATCATGGAGATGGTTTCAAACCATACATTTTGTACCTGGGCGTGCCACGCACAAACAGTTTCAAAGCTTTCAGACTATCCGTAGTTGATGCTTTGGACTGCCAAAGTTCCAATTCACAAAACCAGAAGAGTATACTTTGGACCACCCACGTACAAGGAGATCTTCCATCAGTCAAACAGGAGTCAAAGTTCATGATGCAAGCCATCTTCCGAAATAGAAACTAAAACACTCAGAATGTTCGAACCTTTTGACAAAACGACCTGGAAGAAAGCTGTTTTTAGAAAATTCTTCTGAGAATGCCGTTTTTGTTTCGACTTGACTAGACTCGTCTCCTCTACTCGTCTTATCTCGGGCGCACCATCCGCAAGAGCCTCTGCCGCAGCCAGAAGTAGCGATCTAAGTCCACCGAGGTCATCGAGCCGGCACGGGTGAGGCCAAAGGCCTTGGGAAACCGAGGCATCTGGTAGTAACAAGTGCCTTACTAGTAGTAACAAGAAGCTAGTAGCAACAAGTGCATCGCTAGTAGTAACAGGTGCCTTACTAGTAGTAACAAGAAGCTAGTAGCAACAAGTGCATCGCTAGTAGTAACAGGTGCCTTACTAGTAGTAACAAGAAGCTAGTAGTAACAAGTGCATCGCTAGTAGTAACAAGTGCCTTACTAGTAGTAACAAGAAGCTAGTGATGTCTCTGCGGATCCGGACAGTGCCAGTCTCGAAATCAGAACCAGAGAAAAGAGACAAAGAGAAAAGAGATTGGTCATCCAAGTGGGCTCAAGGACTGAATCTCCGGAATAGCGTAATTACTTGGGCTTCTGTGTTGGTAGCCGTTCCTCCGAACTGCCAATAATTTCTTCTGTCACAGAATCACTTTAATCGTTTGACCTCTTGGGTATCATGCCTTCTCCGTCATTGTGCCGTGCCCTTTTCGGCTTGTTCTTGCCGAGATAGCTGGGCTGTACACATCATTGCTACCATACCTGGGCCAGGGAAACAAGAGAAGTGGGCTTCCCGGTTTGAGATACACAGCAACCAGTACCATAAACCGTTTGTCAAATGCATCCAGCAAATATTTGAGGATGTCAAACTGTCAATTCTACGCTTGGAAACACCCCTATATAAATGTACAAAGCAGCTGTGGTGGACAGCACTTTGTTGCAACAGCCATCCCCCTTCACAGTTCCTGACTTTTTCGACGGGATGCTTGGATCAACCAAACCACCAAATTGACTCTCGCAAATCATGTATAATCAGAATCAAACACGCTCTCTTCACACTGCACATGCAAACACCTCAACTTCATGTTTGATGCCAAAAAAAGGTGCGGAAAATGTCATGAAGCACCACACACCATCGCACCGGTTGATTTAATGGCAAGACCAGGTCACTGCGTGGTGCTGCTCCCCAGCTCATGCCCCGTTTCGGCGAGAGTGGGAGCAGGCTCGATTGGTGGCGCCTTGGGGAGGCTGCAACTCCCGACCGTCATTCAGTTGGCATCCTACTAGGAACAAGGACGCTACTAGGCGCTCCTGGCCATACTACTAGGAGCAAGGACGCTACTAGGAACAAATAGTTGTCCCAAGTCTCCTTCTTGTGGGTTGTCTTGCTCACTATTCATGGAGCATGTTGGTGATCGGTGGTCAATCTGAGGTGATAAACTTTGATTGCAAGCACTTAGGATGACCACAGTATAGGGTCTAAAAACGATATGAAAAAAGAAGGTAAGGGTCCTTTGAAGGAGACCTTGCTAATTCTTCTTTTTACCAATCTCTTCATTTGGACCCTTTTAAGGCCCATGTCTGTTCACTCAGCTCTCTTGGATGATGCCGAGCAACCACTGGCTCGCTGGAGGTGCTGGAGGTCTCCGACCGCATCGACTTCAACTTCTCCATCGGCTGCGCAAGGAGGTCAGAGGGACCGGGAGGAGCGATGGGGAGCTCTAGTAGCTTCTTGTTACTACTAGTAAGGCACTTGTTACTACTAGCTTCTT